TTGCATAAAGATGATCGACGAAAATCGGGTTAGAAGGAGCGTCTTTGGTGTTCAACTCGGGGGTGAAGAGTGAAAAAGGCGATCTAGAGCATTGTGGGTCCTTCAGTTGTGCCGTAATGTCGCATATTTATCGGAGTTCCGGCCATGTAGTAGCCGGGATCGAGGGTTGTGGGTGGATCCATCGTGACTGGATGGCCATAACTTGACAGACCATGGTGGTATGGAGTGGGCAGATCGCGCTGACTCGGATACTGTTGTTGGCCGCCATAATAGAGCGGCTTCGGGCCCATGTTCATGCCCATGCCAATGTTCGAGTCCATACTCGACCTGGTCTGCATCTCGCCTCGGTTCGGCTCCCGGCCGAGTCCGTTGCGCGTCGCCACGACGTGACTCGAGCCCGCGCCCTGGCCAGGGTTTGAAGCGGGACCGGGACCGGGACCGGGAGTCGAGGTTGGCCCAGCTCCGCCTGCACCAGCCAGTACGGGTCCGGAGCCCGGCTGACTGGTGTACCATCGCTTGCGACGGAAGAATCCGCAGCGCCACATGCCGACCACGATGCAGGCGAGCAGAGCCAGGCCGAGTAGAGCGCCGAGGATGATCGGCCAAATGGGCAACTGTCGGATGATGAGCACTTTGATGCCCTCGAAGACGAAGTTTGTCGAGATGGACAGTCTCGGTCGGTCTGTAGCCGTGGCTGAAGCATTCGCGTCCGAAAGGACAGGACCAGAAGTCGGATGGAGTGGATGGAAAGGGTGAACGACGAGGCCGAACGCATTGGCGGGTAGAATGGCGACCGCTTGGCTGACGATGGCCACGTCGGAGATCTTGTGTCGGAAGAGGCTGTCCGACCAGATCCAGGCGCGTAGTACAATGCGCACTGCGTCGCCGCGCATCAGATAGCCTATGTGGCATGGGATCTGGACGTCGAGGAGAGACAGAGCAGTGAACAGCAATGGTTAAAGAATGGTTGTGGAGGCAAAATGGTAAAGTGAAAAGAGAGAAAAAGAAGGAAATCTCACAAGAAACAGTTCAGAAAATAGGAAATATCTGAAAATGGCGAATGCTTTAAATAGCCAAAAAAACAAGATTAAGTAGAAAATGATGAGGGATAGAGAAATGAGGAAGGTGAACTGAGAAATAGATAAAAGTAACTCTAAAAAAACTTATATTCGCTGTCATTAGATGTTCATCCTCCCTAAGAATGCAATCACCC